ACACCACATCCCGAGGCATCCAGGATTCCCCCAGGGTCGGATCCCGAGCCACTTTCCACCACAGCTCATACCTACATGACCGCACCGGCAGCGGCAAACTAAACCGGCCAATCAAATCAAACTCACTGACAGCCGCCAGATGCGCAACCCTAGGGAATACCGAGCCTTTCCGCTGCACCTGCTGCCAGTAGCTCGAGTTGCTGCTCCATGCAATTCCCATGGCTTCAGTTGCGCTAAGGGCTGTGCTGATCAGGCCTGTGCCTGGGTCTACCTTCATCTGGACCCTGCCTGCGTCTAGGAACACGCCCCGGCATAACGCCTGGAAAAGCACCTTGCTGGAAGGGCGCTTCAGCGGATCAGATAAGCTGCTTCCGGAGAGAAAAGAGGATGAAAGAGAGGCAGTAGCAGCAGGTAACGCAGTTGATGCAGAATAGGCAGGCGATGAATTAAACACAGTAGAAGAATGAGAAGCAGTAGACGCAGCAGATGCAGTAGAGTCAGTAGAGCTGGGGAATGAAAGCAGGGACGGAACGGCGGATGCGGGAGGAGCCGGAAACGGAGCCGGCGCAACCTTGGGATTGTCGAACGGCAGCCTTGGGATTGACGAGCGGTCTAGAAGCAGCTTCGGCGCGAAGGCGTGGGGGAGGAGGCGGGCCCAGCAGGTGTCCGAGGCAGCGGCGGCAGCCCATGCTTTGGAGACCGAGGCGAGACGGCAGATGGCGGTTGGAGGGAGGTGAGAGAGAATGAGGGCGATGCATTCGGGCGGGAGATGGGGAGGCGGTCGGGGAGAAGTGAAGTGGGGTGAGGAGGCGAGAGCGAAGTTTGATGCGGTTGAGGTGGGTTGGGAGGGGTGGTAGGTGGGATGGAGTGGTGCGGGTGTATCGTCTTCCAGAGATGAGGAGCAGAGACCCATGCTTGAGGATGGGCTCACGAGAATAGATTAGTGAAATACTTCAAGCAATAATGACATTTAACTTCTTGAAGCACGAGGGAAGAAGACGTATGAAGGAAACGCTGCTGACGAGGGCGAGTGTGAGGTGCCAACCAAGACCGACGGGCGATCTTGACGAATGGGGGCGATACTCGAGTCGTGTCCGGGTGAGTCGCTTTTGAGAATTTCTCAAAATGCCAGTCAAGACTGACGGGGATCTCGAGGAACGACGGCGCTGTAGATTCGTGCCCGGCTGAGGTGGCAGCGCTGAGACTTGAAGCCGTAGAAAAGAAACCACCTGCCTAGTAGCCTGACAACCTGGCGCTACTTGAGTCCTACGAATCTCGCAACTTTACTAAAGTTCGTTACTAGCACCTTGCTGGTGGTCTCAACTGCCGTAAAGGCTACCAAGGTCTCCGTGATTCAATGCTTTCGAGTGCTCTTCGTAACTGGCTTCCGCTCGGTCTCTTAGCTCTTTACGGCGTCAGGAACTCCCGCTAAAGGTGCGGCCTCTCATAGCTGCGAGATTCGCTGGCAGATTGGGCAGCTGTCGGCTAGCGTGCCGTTGCCGGTAAATTACGAGGGACTCCAGGAGAAACGAGTCGGGAGGAAAGACGCCAGGGAGCGAGACGAGAGAAAAGTGAAGGGAGAAAAGAGAAGCGAGAAACGAGGAGAAAGGAGAAACGAACAGGAGCCAGGTAGTGCAGAAGGAATACTGGTGGGGTAGCTATGCTGTCAGAAGGCGGGAAAATGTTTTTGGTAAGATCTTGGAACTCGATATTGAGCGTAGTGCAATGTTATGATTGTTGATGGACGGAGAGGAGGGAAAGGAATATTTTTCCTCAAGTTTGATTGCTTCCTTTGCTGTTGAGTGGTTTTGTGGGGGATGGTGGGGAGTTAATTACATGGAAAAGCTGTCAATAGCGCTAGTCACAACCACTACCTCTTGTCAGAATGTGATGTTTGTCTAGCCTGCAGTGGGGTACTCTATAGCGAGTACAAACCAATTAGGGTTTCCTAAATGTATCTCAACTGCTGCTAGTGAAAACCCCTCTTTTCTGTTTCTCGTTTTCGCCTGCTGTTTCGTCACCTCTGTTGAAGCTCACTATCACGAGCAGATGCGTGCCTTGCTACACCATCCTAAGGCAAATCTTACCTCCCTCCCGCAAGTTAAAATTCAACGGCGAGCCGACTGCCCCATTTCCCACTAATAAGAAATTATGAGCATTACACGAATTAGCCAGGTGATGGAGTACACAAAACCGGATTTATAAAACTGACGACCAAGATGACATGAAGATTGTCTTTGCCAACCCTGCCTCTCCTGTAAAAAATAACGTGTACATGAGAAAAGTACAAGTATAGGTCTAGTCCTAAAGTGTTGTACTCAGTAGTGGCTACCCCACTACAACCTACAGATATAGAAACGCATTTGACACACCCCGATAGGCAAAGCGGGGGATAGTAAGAACAACCAACAGTCACAAGACCAGTCAAGCAAGAGAACTAAGCGAAGCAAAGCTCAGGGTGGATCTCAAAATCACCATGCAGTCTTAGCACAAGCAAGTGGCCACAAGGCCAGCTCACATGCAGAGTTATAAAATCACAAGCAATACAGTGATCACAACCTGGCAAGAGCAAGCATGCATGTATATACATATCACAGTACAAGACAGGGTCAAGTAACCAACATGCGAGGCAGAGTAGGCACAAGGCCTAGAGCAGTGCAGAAACGCTGATGATTACGGGACCCAAGGGCCTTGGATGAAAACATCAGCAGTGTTAGCCCGAGAGGCAACGTAAGCAAGGCGCAGCTGACCACGCCGCTGCAACTCTCGAGCAAGAAACTAACGAAAAGCAATGTGCTTTGTTCTGTGCTCAAGTCTCTGCTCTCGGCACAAGGCAATCATGTCCTGGTTGTCCACGTACAGAACTGGAGGAGAACGAGGCCGCTCACCCAAGTCGGTTAGCAGGTAGGTCAGTCAGCGTAATTCCTGTGCAGCCATAGCCCGAGCCTAGATCTCGGCCTCACGGCTAGAATCAAGCACAAAAGGCGAACAAGTAGACCTCCACGAGACAGAACCAGAGCCGAGACTGAAAGAGTAACCCTGTGACGACCGCTGAATTGCCTAGTCGTCGGCCCAAGAAGCGTCGGGGTGTCCTGTAAGTACCACTAGACCCCGTTCTGTCAGAATCAACGAGCAGGAATGAATGAACTAGAATGAAGTTGGGTACAAGTATGAAACCCTAAAGGGGCTATACCCCATATTGGCTACCCCACTACAGCCTAGACATTTATAGCATATATATAATTTGACACGCCCCCATAGGCAAAGTGGGGGAGAGCAAGGGGTCACAAGACCAGTCAAGAGAAGCAAAGCAAGCTAAGGGTGGATCACAACGTCACCACACTCACTGAGCACAAGCAAAGGGCCACAAGGCCAGTTCACATGCAGAGGTATATATGCAACAACAACAGCACAGTGATCACTGCCTAGCAAGAGTAAGCATGTAGTTATATATACATATATATATATATCACAGTACAAGAAAGTCTAAAGCAAGTGGGGAAACATAGGCACAAGGCCTAACAAAGTACAAAAACGCTGATGATCACCAGACGGAAGTGCCTTGGCGAATATATCAGCAGTGTTGGCCTGAGTGGCCACGTGAGCAAGACGAAGCTGACCACGCTGCTGCAACTCTCGAGCAAGGAAGTAACGCAGAGCGATGTGCTTCGTTCTGTGCTCCAGTCTGTGCTCCTGACACAATGCAGTGGCGGCCTTGTTGTCTATGTACAGAACTGGAGGAGAACAAGGCCGCTCTCCTAGGTCGGTCAGCAGGTAGGTGAGCCAGAGTGACTCCGGTGCAGCCATGGATGTGGCGTAGATCTCAGCCTCACAACTGGAGCTGAGAACAGAAGACGAGCGTGTAGACCGCCAAGAAATAGAGCCAGAGCCAACCCTGTGTAACCCTGTGACGACCGCTGCGTAGCCAGGTCGTCAACCCAAGAAGCGTCCGAGTGACCAGTGAGGACAACTGGACCCCGTCGTCCAAGCACGAGCCCCATGCCCGACGTACTGCACAAGTAGCGCATCACCCTCTTAGCGGCCTTCCAGTGCTCTGGTCGGTGTCTCCCGGGCGCAACGTAGCGTGCCAGGATGCTAAGAGGGTAAGCGAGGTCAGGACGAGTGCAGGTCATCAGGTACATGAGACAGCCCACAAGCTCTGGATACGGGCCACTCAACTCTACGGACTCATCCGAAGGCAGAGCTGAGAGCGAGTGACCGGTAGGCAGAGGAGTGGACTGTGGTGAGGAGTGCTGGAAGTCGAAGTGTTGAAGGACCTGCTGCACCATGTGTGACTGAGTCAGGGTAATGGTGCGCCGTGCTCTGTCCCGGGTGATCTGCAAGCCAAGATAGCTGCGCAGCTCACCAAGGTCTGTGCACGTGTGTCTCTTCTGCAGCTCCGACTTCACTAGAGTCAGTGCCTCAGTGTCAGCAGTGGCAAAAACCAAGTCGTCAACGTACACGAGGATGTAGAACGGCGACAGCGAAGTGTCGGTGCGTAGAAACGCCTCCAACCTCAACTAGTGTAAAATATTGCCACGACACATGCATTGCTCATTCACAACTATCCAACTCTAGAACCTCTCCCTCGCACAATAATCGCCATGGCTTCCGACGGTAGGTCAGCCAACTTAAATGCAGGCACTTCAGCCACCCCCGCCGCCTCGACGTCCGCAACCCCAACAAACACGCGGCCTCCGCAGCGCCGTGCGCGTCAGGCACCTGGTCCAGGCCGACGACTGGAGGTGATAGACCTAGACACTATAGTCTCTCAAGTGCCAGATCCTAACGCGCCACTCGACGCCGACGACGACTCGCTAGCTTATTTCGACGCTGGAGAAATCGAGACTGACCTCGACAATACCGCCACCGACGACGCGGGACCGTCGATGGCATCTGACAGGCGTGGATGGAGACCCGAGGAGGTAATGCAACTCGCTTGGGTTCGCCATGATTTGGACGACAAATATCGAAGCCAGACTCGGCTGCAGGGTCAGAACATGGACGTAACTATTTGGGACGAGTTGATTAAGCGCCACCCGGCATTTCGCCACAACTTCTCGGCCATGAAGGTGAAGCTCTTCAGGATGGAGGTAACCTACCGGAAGGTGCGGGATATCCTACTTGGGGAGTCTGGCAAAGGGCGCCCACCGAAGATCCCTATTTTTTACGAGATTTACGAAGGCATTATGGGCGACCGCGCCAACGCGCAGCCACCCGCTCTTGCAGGAAGCCTTCCAGGGGCGAACGTCGGTGGTTCGCCTCCCTCAACGCCAAATATGGCCGGTAAGCGATGTGCACAACGTCAGTTTCCGCAATGCTGCATCGATTTCTGTTGCGAGGAATATTTCAGGCTGAGCAACAACAAATATGTTACGTGGATGTCACATAGCACAAACATCACAAGTAAGCGCTCAACCTTCCCTGAACATCCCCATCCTGTACTTCGCCGATCTTGCCTTTGCAGATCAGGCTCCTCCGACCGAGGGAGTGGGGATTGCTTCTACGCCTCAGCGAGTGGTGTCTTCACCCTCTCCGTCGCCAACTCCGCAGCCCATGTCCCCGCCGCCTGCGCCCGCCATCGTTGCAACACGCAACGCATCACCCGAACTCGCTGAGGCGTCGCCCACGCGTTCACGCGTTGTCGGTGCGGGGACGGGACTGGGGCTGCGCGGGAACCGCGTCGTCCACCGGCCTGGGCCTGCGGCTGCAGAAACAGATCTCACAAGCACAGTGGGGGGAGCAGCGGCGTTTGGGAGTCAGTTGACGGGGTCCGATGCTTCCCTTTGTGACGAAATCGCAACTCGTGTGGCAGGAACGGTGCGTGGACTCATGCGTGAGAATTTTGAGGAATTCATGGAACTTACCCGAGTCCTGGTGCAGTCTCCTCCGGATGCCCCAGCCGCCAAGAAGCGTAGAGATACCCAGTCAGACGAGCCCGGCGACGGGTCGGCGTGAAGCCCTCGGCGCTCGGCGAGTAGTGCGGCGCGTGTGCCGCGGGACCTGCCTGCCACCACCTGTTCCTCTTGCGCGTGCCCTCGATACGCGGGCGCGTCCCCAGCACCAGGTCGATGTTGTGCCGCGTCACGCAGGCCGCGACGTACCGCGGCGCCTAGAAAATGTCGCACTCCAGCCTGCCGTCGAGCAGGCGCCATTTCGTTTTCAGGCGACCGTTCACCTGCTCCACCATCATCCTGGTGCGCGACTGCTGAAGGTTCCAGACGCGCTGCTCGCCCGGAAGATGGCGTCCTGAAGTAGCTCTGTAGGGTGTGTAGAGGTAGTCGCGTAGGCCGTATGCGGCATCTGAGACAATGACGTAGTCTTGCATTCCTCCAGCTTCGATTCTTGCTCTAGCAGGGCTGTTCTGGAAGACTCTTGCATCATTAACGCTCCCAAGCCAGCCCACAAAAAAAATCCCAGATTAGACTGTTGCAGTCGCATATTAGCTGCAGAATAATGGAATAAAAACCTTTGCGGTTGCGGAAATCTTCTCGGTGTGGCCCAAAACCACGGCAGCGGATGTATGTGCCACAAGGCCAGTTCACATGCAAGATCATATATAAAGGTAAACAAGCAAGTGCAGGTATAGAAAGATCACAGTACAAGCAAGGTCAAGAAGTGAGCAAGTGAGGCCAAGTAGGCACAAGACCTAGCATCGTACAGAAGCGCTGATGATCACAAGGCGGAAGTGCCTTGGTAAAGATATCAGCAGTGTTGGCCTCAGAGGCCACGTAAGCAAGGCGCAGCTGACCACGCTGCTGCAGCTTACGAGCAAGGAAGTAGCGAAGAGCAATGTGCTTCGTTCTGTGCTCCAGTCTGTGCTCCCGACACAAGGCCAGCATGGCCTTGTTGTCTACGTACAGAACTGGAGGAGAACGAGGCGGCTCTCCCAGGTCAGTCAGCAGGTAGGTGAGCCAGCGTAGCTCCTGTGCAGCCATGGCCCCCGCGTAGATCTCAGCCTCACAGCTGGAGCCAAGAACAGAAGACGAGCGGGTAGACCGCCACGAAACAGAGCCGGAGCCAAGGCTGAAGGTGTAACCCTGTGACGACCACTGCGTAGCCTGGTCGTCAGCCCAAGAAGCGTCTGCGTGACCTGTGAGGACCACTCGACGTCGCCCTCCAAGCACTAGCCCCATGCCCGACGTACTGCACAAGTAGCGCAACACCCTCTTCGCTGCAGCCATGTGCTCTGGTCGGTGTCTCCCAGGAGCAACATAGCGTGCCAAGATGCTAAGAGGGTATGCTAGGTCAGGTCGTGTGCAGGTCATCAGGTACATGAGGCAGCCAACAAGCTCTGGGTACGGGCCACTTGGCTCTACGGACTCATCCGAAGGCAGAGCTGAGAGCGAGTGGCGAGTAGACAGAGGAGTGGCCTGAGGCGAGGAGTACATGAAGTCGAAGCGCTGAAGGACCTGCTGCACCATGTGTGACTGAGTCAGGGTAATGGTGCGCTGTGCTCTGTCCCGGGTGATCTGCAAGCCAAGGTAGCTGCGCAGTTCACCCAGGTCTGTGCACGTGTGTCTCTTCTGCAGCTCGGACTTCACGTGGGCGAGTCCAGCAGTGTCAGCAGTGGCAAAGACCAAGTCGTCGACGTACACGAGGATGTAGAACGGCGGCAAAGAGGTGTCGGTGCGCAGAAACAGCGACGGGTCGGCAGTAGAAGGAGCAAACCCAAGAGCCGCAAGTGTAGTCCTCAGTGTGTCGTGCCACTCACGGGGCGCCTGGCGGAGACCGTAGACTGGCCGCCGGAGGCTCCACTGGGTACCAGGAGGAAACGACCCAGTGAAGCCAGGTGGGCGGCGCAGCCAGATCTCCTCGTGCAGGCTGCCCTGCAGGAAAGCTGTGCTGAAGTCAAGAGAGTGAAGCTCGTAGTCACGCTGAGCGGCTATGTGCAGCAGCACCCGAAGAGTGGTCATCTTCGGGGTGGGAGAGAAGGTATGAAAGTAGTCAACTCCCTGCCGCTGACTGAAGCCTCGAGCCACGTAACGCGCCTTGAAGACAGGCGGAGAACCCGACGGCCGCTTCACCCTGAAAATCCACATGCCACTGACGATGTTCGCCCCGGGTGGGGGAACCTCGTCGACGTAGGTGCATGTGGACTTCCAGGAAGCCATCTCTGCGTCCATGGCTGACTGCCACTGAGAGGAGTAGGGACCCTTGATCGCCTCAGCGTAAGATCGAGGAGTCGGGATGTCTGGTGCATCCGGGTCTCCCTCAGGGGCAATCAGCGTGGACACGAGATGAGGCAAAGCAGCAGCAAAACACTGGAACTCCTCCTGCCTGTCCTCAAGGACGTCCGTGCTAAGAGCACACTCACCCCCGACGGACGGAGGACAGACAGACTCAGACTCAGCAACAAGACTAGCGGCGTAGTCTAGACGACAGCGAGCAGCAAAGTCGACAAGCTCAGCAACTAAGGCAGACGCAGCAGTGGACTCAAGGGAAGGGTCAGTGACAACAGTAGCCAGGAGACGCGTGACAGTAGGACTGGCAGCACGAAGAGAGTCAGACTCCGGGTCAGCAAGAACAGGAAGAGAGGACTCTGGAGGAGACGGCAACGGGACACGCAGAGGAGCAGTGGAAGGACGCAGTGCCATCTGGTGTGTGCCTGGGACCGCAGGAGGACGCGGACGCGGAGCACGACCCCTAGTGCGAGCAGCACGAACAGGCGACGCAGGACGAGACGCAGGCTCACGACGCTCAGCAAGACCTCCAGTAGGACCAGTGTAGGGAGAAGGAGCAGGTAGGGGGGAGGCGGGCTGTAACTGTGACCGCGACTGGACAGGCTGTGGACCCTCTAAGGGAGGAGCAGGACCAGTAGAGGGCGGGAGACCAAGAACCTACTGAAGGAGCGGAACGAAGTACGGCCTCGGCCGCGCAGCGCCTCCAGAACCAGCAGGGACAGCACCAGTACCCCCAGCGGCAGCACCAGCGCCAGCAGTACCTCCAGCTCCAACAGCGCCAACTCCAGCACCCTCAGAAGCACCAGTGCCAGCAGCACCACCAGCGCCAACACCCCCAGCAGCTCCAGCTCCAGCAGCTCCAGCAGCTCCAGCAGCACCAACTCCAGCAGGACCGTCAGCTCCAGTACCGCCAGCAGCTCCAGCAGTACCTCCAGCAGGCCTAACTCCAGCAGCCTCAGCAGCACCCCCAGTCCCAGCAGCTCCAGTACCGCTAGTACGAGCACCTCCAGGACCAGCAGCAACAGTAGTACCTCCAGCTCCAGCAGCACGGCTCCAGCGCCGGGCAAACCACTCGCGCAGCTCTTGCGGAGAGAGTAGCTCCCGCCTCGACGAAGCACCGCCAGAGGCCACACGAGCAGACCCAGCACCCCCAGGCTCCGCACCCCCAGGCTCCGCACCCCCAGGCTCAGCACCCCCAGGCTCCGCACCCCCAGGCTCAGCACCCCCAGGCTCCGCACCCCCAGGCTCAGCACCCCCAGGCTCCGCAACCCCAGGCTCAGCACCCTCAGCAGCACCAGAGTCACCAGCGACCTCGACAGGCTCGACTGCGTCTACATGGGACACACCTGACGGGGCAGGACCTTGAGGGGGGAGAGGGTCTACTGGGGGAGGACCTGGCGCAAGGAAGAGCGGCGGCGGGGGGAGGGGCGCAGTGCGGTAGGGGAAGAGACGGTAGTAAGGCACCGACTCGTCAAAGGTGACGTCCTGGGAGGACAGAACACGGCGCGAGGTGGGGTGGTAAAACTGCCAACCAGGCGCGTCAGGGGGGAAGCCCAGGAAGACGCAGGGAACAGCACGGGGGGACAGCTTGTCCGCAGACAAGTCGCGGACAAACGCCCGAGATCCCCAGACCCGAAACGCAGACGCATCGCCAACCTTCCCCGTCCACCGCAAGGTGGGGAGGTCTCTGGCAAGGAGACCCGGGGCTGAAGGTTGAGCTGATGCGCTGCGTACTGAACCGCAAACGGCCACAGAAAATGGGGAGCAGCCGCATGGATCATGGACGTACGAGCGGCCTCCATGACCATGCCAATGCGGCGCTCAGCAATCCCATTTTGCTGTGGAGAGGCCGGAAGCGTGAAGGTCTGGCGGATGCCCTGTGCACGACAGAAGGCTCCCAGAAGGGCAGAGGAAAACTCCCCGCCTCTGTCAGAGTGCAGACGCAGAACAGGAAAGTCCGAGCCGAAACTCTCTCTGAGCTGGAGACGAGCTGCGCGGATCCAGTCGATCAATACCTCAGTGACGTCACCCTTGCTGCGCAAGGGGAACACCGTGGTGTAACGCGAGTAGTCGTCAACCACCAACAGGAAGTAACGCTCGTGACCCTGGCCACGGACGCGGGCGGGGCCCCACACGTCCATGTGAAGAGTCTGCAGGGGAGCCTCTGTCGGAGGAAACTCGGAGGAGTGAGGGGCGGCGCGCTGCCGCCCCTCGACGCAGGGAACGCAGGTAGGGGCAGGCCCCGGAGGGAGGGGAGGGAGGGACCGGGGGAGACCAGAGACAAGGACACGGGAGGCCATGCCTCGGAGACGAGACAGGGAGGGGTGACCAAGGCGGTGGTGCCAAAGGAGAGTCTGGTGGGACAGGAGACGACACGAGCAGGGAGCAGACTCAGGACCAGACCTGGACGCTGCAGCAAACACCTGACTCGACGCAGCTACCTGACCAGACTCAGCAACCGGAGGAGACTCAGTAGTCAGTGTGTACAGGCTGGACCTCGGCCGACGGGTAAACGTGGCCAAGTGTCGGCCCGTCCGAGCACACGTACGGTGGGTCACCCGCTGACGCGCAGGAGTGAACTGGTCAACCCCCCGATCCTGTAGATAAGCACCACTCACCAAGTTCGTAGAGAACGAGGGGAGGTAGAGACCTGATAGGGTGCCAGAGGGGGCTGCCGGACACGGTAAGACAGTGGAGAAGCGAGCAAGGACAGGACCCCCAGAGGGGTCCGCCAGGGAGACCGCAACCGGCCGACTAAGCGGCGTAAGCGTGGTG